GCTCACGATCCACCTGGCGTTAAGTGGTTCCCGGAACCCATAAACATCAACAACGTAAATGCCGCCACCTACCTTGAGACAGGAGTTCTAAGATCTCAGTTTTACAATACAACTGTTGCCATAACCCTTTAAACCGAAACGCATTAGTGCTTCATGACAAAAATAAACGTTTTAGAGGCTCCATACGTAAAAAAAGCGAATTGTGGAGTACTTCGGTCAAACGTGCCTAAAATATAATAGCAAACCGTCTGTTATTTGAAAAACTTTAGGTGAAGTATACGCAGTGAATATGCAATACTGTTATAATAATATGTTCATTCCTATCTTAGGTAAATGGAACGTGTATTTTTATGTTGAAGTTCTTTTTGTTGTGTCAAGTTGACGACCATGTAACATGCCCACAAATTAGCACTCTTATTAAACCTAGTTTCAGAAAAGATATGTTTTTTTATGATTGAAGGATTGCTAGGGTTTCATGAGGACAGGTGGGCGAGCCAGGAGCCAGGAGGTCAGCCAGGAGGGTTGGGATTTATTAACAGCTGCCCGAGCGGCTCCGAAGGAGACCTAAAAATTGAAGAGCAGCTGCTTCGCGAATGAATCTGAAAAGATATGTCTAGGGGCTCAGAAAATACTGTACAGGGAGGTTAGAAAAAAATGATTTCTGGAAACGGACTTCTTGAAAATGATTTCTATATGGAGAAGCACAACGACTCCTATTAATAAGTATGAACTCTGCTTCCCTGGAGGATGATGCAATGATTAAATGAAGATGATAGAATCATTTCGAATGATTGTACATAAGTAAACTAAAAAAGCAGCACAAGGATCCGAAGAAACTTATATCAAAGTAGACCAATTTGCGGACAGCTTCATACTTAGTGTATATCAGATCTAGATTAGTTAGACTTAGCTATTTAAAAAAAAACGTGATCCAATTGAGCTCAAGTGTGTCTCATATTAAGAGCCTCTGGAAGACCTTAGAGAACAGAAATGAATAGAGTATCTCCTGCGGACTCAACGAGTCATAGACATCTATGGACATAATTAAAGCTAATTTTACGGTTTAATCTTTCGTTTATTGTGACAAATTAATAGCGTCACTCATTATTAGATAAAGTTGAAGCACTGAAGTATTATAAAGGTCTAATGGGTTGAGGTCACAATTCAATTGAATGACAAAGGTAATGTTTTGTAAATGTAAATGTGTTAACCAAAAGTTTTAAAGTGAACATTATAGGCAAAAAACATTACAACGTTCACTATTAAGTTCCATGAACTATGCACTAAGAAAATAGCAGATTACAAGATTCGACAGGCCGGTCATTTATTTCTTTGACCATAAAGTAGGCATCCGTTGTAGAAAAACTTACTTTTTAAGTACAAAACTTTTATAAAATGGAAGTACTTAAACTTAAGAAATGAAACTTGGTCTCTGGGAATAGCTACGTTTTTTTTTACTTTCGTAGATTTTTTATAAGTTATAAGCTTTCTTTTTCTTGTCAAGTTCCTTCATAAATGACATTATTATAACAATGTTTCTGTTTTTTACCTACTTATTTGTTCTATCGGTGATCATTTATGATAGGGATAATTTATTATAAAGAGACAACTACTTTATCGGAGTAGGTATCGTCTCAAATATGTATATTAAGTGTATAATCTATGGGTATCGATTGATACCGACGGGCCTTTGTAATTAGTTATGTTTAAATACAACTCTCTCATATCTGGTGAATATTAAGGCAAGCCTACGCCTATTGTTAATCCAAAATTAAACATTAATTTGTGTTCCTCTAACACATCGTAATTTATCGTAATTTTTCACATTAAATCAGTTTTCAATACTTCGGTGCTGTTGTAAGCGCTCTGATTATATGCGAACTGCAGGTAGGATGTTAGGGGTTGTGAACCCTCTTTTCAATCCGCTTCGTCCCTAGGGCCCAATGTGATATGATCCCTATATATACTACTGTCTGTAAAGGATCTTGTTGTGATTTTGGAAAATTGAAGAGCGACACAGAAGGTGTAATGTGAAATGTATTATTTTGTGAATTTAACGGTTTTTTCTAAGTTAACCGTTAATCGGGCACAGGGAACTCGAATATTCTTGAAATGGCAAACTTTCAGGTTGTAATTTTTACCGTAATACCGTATTTATAATCTTAGATAATTAGTTAATTACAAAACGATTTAACTGGCAGCCCTACCCTTACAAATGTCACGTGTAACGTCAGAATCAAATGAATGTCACTTTTGAAAAATTGCGCGATTTTTACATAGTGGAGACATGCCGTACTTAAATCTATAAAGTTTCTTCAAAAAAGATTCTTGTAAGTAGTTATGTGATTCGTTATGTACTAATTTATTATATTATGTTGACTTTGTTATGTTATTCAATGCAAAAACGTAGTTTTTGTGTGATTTTCATTAATTTGAAATATATTTTTGCAAGTGGGAAAATAGTTCACTTTGTCCATTCTCCGACTCCGTTTTGCGTCACTTTAATAAATAAAAAATAGGGATTTATTTCTATCGACTTTTTTAATTTTGTCAAGTTATTTAGTTTATTTCACAATGTTGGTTTCAATTGTTTTAAGCGCTTGAAAATATATTACCTACTAAATCTTTCTGATTTATCGGACATCGATACTGATGATGACGATATTTATGGCGATATGGCGATTGCCTGATAAGTCCATTCTAATAGTTTTTATTGTTTATTGGATCCTTTATTTGCACACTGACACTCCACCTCACTTCTACATAAATAATTCTGTGCACATTTATTGAGGAAAATAAATTCAAAAGCAGAGTCAGGGTAAATTAGTAATCTATTTAAATTTACAGACATAATCGGGCAAAGGGAAATTATTTCCTACTTTGTTTGTCCATGAACAGGCAAAGGGAAACAATTTCCCACCCGTAAAATATCATTATTTTCAATTTCAATAATTTATATATATGATTTTATGTACACTGATATCCAACACGATCCAAGAGCATATACGCAAGCCATGAAAAACATTGTTCTGCCCGATTAAGGGTTAATGCTACGCACAATACCGTCTTTACCATAAGGGCACACGGGGCCCGTGCCCAGGGCCCCCATTCCCAGGCGGGCCCAAAGGACCGGCAATTTCTCTCACACATTTATTCTCAAAACATTTTTGTCGGGCACATTACACCTTTTTCACAAATCAGTAGTCTTAGCAGAAGCTATTTACAAGGCATATACTACACCATTATATCGATGACTGCGCTATTCCTACTGTACTAATTAATAATATTGCCGAACGCATCCTACTAATTTACTATGTACACCATCTAGCGATCACTCACGCAATCACTCCGATTCCAAAGTCAAACTGCACCGTTTAAACAAGGCCTAACATAAATGTCGACATTGCCTATGGCTTGGGGAATCCCCGAATTATGTATTAAGCTTTCAGTCTGATAGGAATGAGTGGCGTTATTTTGTTTCGTTTGATATTTAAAATTAAGTAAGATAAACAGGAATTTTGATTTGTTCGTTTAAACATTATTTCTTTATGTCGAAAAGAACATACTTAAGTGGCTCACAAAAAAAAAATTATAGCTCAAAAAGAAATAACGGAAAAACTTCCAAAGCTCACTTCGTTTTTTACGGTTGAAGAAACAAATAAGCCGAGGGATTATTCATCCTCATCACCGCAAGATACAAGTAACTCTCAATGTCACCATGAAAAAGAGCTTACGTGTGACGAAAATGACAAACACACATTAGATGCTGAACCATCGACTTCAAGCTACTGTGAATTAATAACTGCAAGCTTAGAGAATGTATCTGTGTCTACCCCGTGTGTACCCCGGTACTTACTGTGACGACATTTTACCGGAAAAAGTCCGTGATATCTGGATTCGAAAAGGGCCAGAGCTTTCCAAAATATAAATAGTGACTTCTCCGAAAGTTCTACAAGTTATCCAGATTCTCTTCTTCAGTAATTTTTAAAACGTTTCAATTGAACACTATCAAAATGAGTGAAAGTGAAAACAAAAAAAAAAAAAATCTCCTCGAAAATTAAAAAAGATGCATTACAATCAAAAATATTCTCAACTATGGGAAAAAGAAGAATATTAGCGGCCTGTAATTCTGTTTTATCATTGGATTTCTAATAAAAATAGTTCAAATATGTCTTATCCAATCGAAAGGGGCCAGGGAGGCGGATCTCGCCCTAGCCCTGGCCCTCTAAGTGTTTCGGGTCCCCCTCTTATGTCGGTCTGGGGCCTGGCGAAGGGGGCCTAAGCAAACGACGTGCAAGCTGCTCTGCACGCGTTTTACGCAAGAGCATCCGGGTGATGGAAGGCCGGCTATCCTCGACCCACGCTGGTTCTGACCCAGCGGGGTATTTCGTAGGATAACCTATTCAAACCGGCGCCATCTAGGCGGGCTTCGGACAGCCTGCCGACCGAGAGGGCTGGTGGTCGTGGCGCCGACGATCGCTGGCCCGGCGTCCCGAGGGGGAGGGTGATGGGAGAGATGTGCTCCGCACTAAACGCTTCACTCTCCTCCCCTTGCCTTTTCATGAGTTCTGTCTCATGCGAGGGTTGGACGTTGGTTGTTGAGCGACAGGAGGTTTTAGTCGGTTCGACTCCGACATGCCCCACCCTCCATCCCCAGTCTGGCGATTTCCTGCTGACAAAAAAAAAAAAAAATCCAATCGAAAAGTAAATTAAGGATGCCAGATTCTTATTGGAGGGTCTCTAAAAGACTTGAAAAGTATGGGTGGTAGATCTACCAACTTTTCATAGTAGGGTTTGTTGGAAACTACCAACTTTTAAAACCCTATCTCCCACCTTGACGAATTTCGAGTTGGCAACGCTGGCATATATGGGCTGTGTTCCCTTTGCCTGCAAAATAGTAAAAAAAGAATTGTTTCAGTTGTTTGTTTAGTTTCTTATGCATGTGTAACAATAGCTTTTTTTATTTATTTATTTCTTTTTATTTACGTACTGTTTAGTTATTTAGCATTAAAAGTCTAATATGAATAAAGAATATAAAATATCACACACAGTAGTTTGAAGACAAACATTCTGAAATTTAACGATATTTTAAAATAAGTATTAGTGAAATTAATATTATAGGGTTTACGAGTGCTTAGTGCATCAGTAGAACATTGCTTAGTAAAAATAAGATTTGATCCCTGTTCATTAAAGTACAAATTTAACATTAAAACTATTTACCAATTGTGAAAAATATGAAAAAGTACGCACATCACAGCTACACATATACACCTCTTTTGGACGCGTAAGTTTTTTTTATGCCAACTGATTTATAGTTATGGACACCTTTACAAAACCTTCCGCAGCCTTAAAATACGTATAAGCGTGCTGAATAGCGATGTTTTGAAAATTTCCGAATATCCTAGAAACAGTTAAACATGCTGATGATATCTGCTAACAATATTGTTCAGTATTTAAAGGCTATTTTCGCAATATTAAGATCAATCAATCATACTATAAAATAAAGCATGATAATAACTGATGGACTTTTTTCAAATTAAACAATCATCTGATAGTTCTTCTTAAAATTATAATTTAGAATAAAAAATTTTTAGATCTAACCTTATTAATTTAAAGATCAACTTTTTGCAAAACTTCTTGTGTGCCTTACTGCCAAGACAATACACCTACATTATTCCAATCTCAATAATATATTCTACCTTTATTTAAATAAATAAAAAATACAGAATAATTTCTTTTTTTCCATTGTAAATTCAAACTCCAAATTTTCATAATAATAGACTATTTTGCTTTTATTTTAATAGTATTAATATAATATTAATAAAATAAGTTAGTTTTAGTATTTGAATTAAATAATATTTAAATCATGCAGCAAGAAATGTAACTTGGGACGCCCCCCTCCCCCTAGGTGCTGTGATTACCTTCGATGGTTAGCAGGTAAGAAGTGGATGGGGAGAGCTAAAGACGGCTCAGTAGTGTGGATTGGGAAAGGCCCATGGCTGATAACGATGATAAAAATTTATAATATGTTTCAAATTAAACATCAAATATAAGTAATTATATTAAATCTAGTTTGCAGCCTAAGTGTATGGGATATGTATAGTTAATTGATAATAATTCATGACAATTATGGTATAAATTAAAAAATATGACTAGAAACCATCAGATTATATATAGTATAATCTAAACTGAGTCCCAGTAACTATACTGAGACCTTAGAACTCATATCTCAAGGTGGGTGGCAGCATTTACGTTGTAGATGTCTATGAGCTCCGGTAACCACATAACATCAGGTGGACCGTGAGCTCGTCCACCCCCTAAGCAATAAAAGAAAAAGATTCTGTATATAAATAGATTACTCAGAAACATTTTTTATCTTAAGCTATTTTATGCCAAATCTGTGTGAGTTTATTAATTGTATAGTGGTATAAAAATGTCTAGCCATAATGTAATGAGTGTATTTTTTTATATTTACTATCATAACTTTTTTGTACAATGTAGAATACAACCAAATATTATATAAAAAAAATCTATTGAATACCACAGACAAAAAATTTAAAACAATCACTTAGGCAATTTCAATTCCAGGAAACCCTATGTGGATAGAAATTATTTAGCTTAATAGTGCTGAGGTGTATTGTAAAACTGTTTGAAGATGTACCACCATCCTGCCTATATCTGCTTCGAAGCAGCCATGCATTCTGATTTGAAGGGTACAGCTAACAGAAACAAAATCAGTACTTTCACTAGATCTGTCAAAGCAGGTTGAGGTATTTGTCAATGACCTTTAATACCAGATGACCTGTGAGCTAATTCACTATGTAAAATAATTAAAAACAGTAAATGATGGTAATTTTTCAGTTATGAAGTACAACATTTTTAGTTTTAAAATAAGAAAATCCTTACCTGAATAAATGTTTTGCGTATCTACTAATTATAGAATGTGCTTTTTCATTTTCTAATAGATCTTGTCTCTGTAGATGTCACGATAGATTCTACAAAAACTAACAACATTCATTATCACATATCATTTATTTATTTTTGAAAGCCTTCGTTTTTATTGTACTGCAGAAAATCACAAATCACAAAGGAAAATAATAGTGAGTAAATTTGTAAATATTAGCAGATTGAAATGTTTTACCTGAGATAAAACCCTGAGATATCATTGTTTGGACTACAAGCTGGCTAACATTACAGTGGTAATTTTTGTAATGTTTGTTTTCATTATACCGACTTATATGTTAATGTTAGTATGTCAATTGATTGGCCTGGACAAATTTGCCAGGTTTAACAGTGGGTATTTGGGTACATTTCTTTATTTTTAAATTTCTGGAGGCCAATTTTGCTGATTTATATCTACAAAAGAGATCCCTTTCTCATCAACCTCATGAGGTTTTAATTTCAATTTTCCCAAGAACCTTCAATTACTTAAAAGTCGCCTAAACGCAAACGTTTTTCCTGGTCTTTAGAGGAGAAATTAATTATGTTTCATCAACTGTGAATTGACGATTCAAACTTACAATTTTTTTCACCATGAAACAAAAAAGTAAGGTCTAGATATAATTCTTATTATTCAGTAATTACTGGGGAAAATAAAACTAAATCCCACCCTTTTTGAGATTGAACCAAACCATTGCTTTGTGGCGGGTAGCCATCATACCATGGAAGATATTTGACAGATGCCTGAATCTCGCTTACGACATTTTCAAGATAAGCTTGCAATATACAAGTTCCGACAACAACATTCGGACCGTCGGTCTACCGATATCACCCGCTCGGTAGAAGATCTTCCTTTCGTCGTAAACCTCCCACAGCTTCATGGAGAAATAGTCAAGATATTAACCCCCTGAGTTCTCAAAATACACCTTAATTACTAGTAGTAAAAAGAAAAAAAACGGGAAACAGACTGTAAACAAATGATAATCAATCTCTTGGGTTGTTTTTTTTTTTGCTTAGATGGGTGGACGAGCTCACAGCCCACCTGATGTTAAGTGGTTACTGTAGCCCATAGTCATCCACAACGTAAATGCGCCACCCACCTTGAGATACAAGTTCTAAGGTCTCAAGTATAGTAACGACGGCTGCCCCACCCTTCAAACCGAAACGCATTACTGCTTCACGGCAGAAATAGGCAGGGTGGTGGTACCCACCCGCGCGGACTCACAAGAGGTCCCACCACCAGTAAAAATATTTTCCTTAAAATAGTTTCCTTATAGATTTCGCCAATGTCAACTGTATATAATACTCTGCTTTATAAAGCGGACTTCGTGAACGAACAAGGTCACAGATCGTAACTAAGAATTAAGAGAGTAGCTAAGAATGTTTGATAACAGGATCGCTGTTGATGTACCTAAAACAAATAAGACGCACACAATATATATACAGGGGTTAGTTGGTTAAAAGACAGACAAACTAAAACAAATGATAGAACTTGACGTGCTAAATGTTTGACATTCAAATTGCCACTTCATCCTAACGACCGCTATGAACTGCTGTATAAATAAGTATTACAATTGTTTTTCAAATAATTCACATTTTTAACTTCGCACAATGAGAGCAGCTATACATGTCCGCTGTAGGAACATTTAGATCAATTTGTAATATATTCTAACATCGACTTATGGATAATACTAATTTATTTAACTCGTTCCGATGAATTCCTTCCAGAAATATTAAAAAGATAAAAGACTAACATGTTTCCTAAAAACAACACAAATAAAAACAAAATATAATTTGAGCATAAATCCTGTTTCATTTGAATTCCGTTTGTTCGAATAACGGTTGTTAATGGCTATTTTAATACTCCTATAGTTTAGTGTCAAATAAAAATAACGTAAAGAAAAAATATCGTGTCGTCCACAACAACGAAAACACAGCATTAATAAGCAGAGAGGGGGTGTCACACACCGCGAGTGGGTGATCCAATAGCTCAGTGCGCGGACCGCGAGCTAAAGTAAGAGGCGCGGGCGTCGGGCGTCTACTTTGCAGCCTAGAGAACCTCACCTCTAAATCCCCTGCCACGCCATTCAAAACTTTATCACACCACTAACAAAGATACTTTTTATGGAACTAAAAACGACAGTGACCCCATTGTGCAGTGCAAAATGAACGAAGAAAACACCGTCGCCGAAGACTTGAAACGTCAAGCAGCTATGTTTTATAATACAACAAGAAGGTTCGTTACAATATCCAACGCGTGTTTTACGAACGTACAATCACTTAAATAGTTTACGTAATATGTTTATAGCTATGCGCGAAACTTAACGGATATTCCAACATGTTTTTGAGCAAGAAATTAAGTATCGAACTTAGAAAACGATTCTGGAACTAACGAGAAAATTGAAGATGAATTTTGGAAAACAAGTACTTCGTCATGTGGACTATATAGTGTCAATGATTCCATAAAATCTCCCTAATACATAATTAATCTTATTTTGACAGATAGTCTCGCAAAACAAACGTGAAATTAAAAAAAAAAGAAACTCAACCATTGCGTTCGTTTCCCAGAAAGCGTGAACATGTAATCACGGCAGAATATTTGTTTCGCATAATTTTAAAAGTCAAATCATGAATCTTTTATGTTACGACCTCGTTTGTTCATCATTCTTTCAAAGAAATATTATGCATATGGGTATATGTATATGAATATAATCTTCTGAATTTCGTACAGGCATGAATAAGACATTACGTTGATAGTTTCTCAAACGGACGCAACATGTCATTGACAACTATTCATATCGAAAAGGCTGTTGACATTTCTATTAGGTAAAAAAATTGAGGACTACTAGTTACTATTTGTCATTTTAGAGTAGTCAAACCGTAATAAAATTCGACATTAGCAGTAGGCAGCGGCTTGGCTCTGCCCCTGGCATTGCTGAAGTCCATGGGCGACGGTAACCACATACCATCAGGTGGGCCGTGTGCTCGTCTGCCTACAAAGGCAATAAAAAAAAACGTATTATATAGAATTTACTTATAACTTCGTTTGTGACTTGTACCTCTAGTTCGTCGGGGTTCGATCTTGATGGGTCCTGGGTGTATTCGTGACAGTATTACCGGAGAAAAATTCATATTAGTTTCGTTGGAAACTGAATCGTTAATTAAATTAACATTTTAGTTATCAGAATCTAAGCATTGTGTAGGTTTGTGTAATCATTTCAGGCTGAACTTTAATACAAAACGCCCACGTATGTCTGTTCCACCATTGTTCATTGTACGTGCAACCACAAGCCGTGAAGACAGGGACGTATCGTGGACAGATCGTGGGGGGTAATAAAGGCCATT